AAGAACCAGAAGAGGCTCTTTTCCCTACCTTCCACCCAAAGTGTATCTTTTTTATAAGCTATGGGAGAATTTTGAGAACAGCATGATTAGTGAATGGTAGGATCTATTTTATTTACCTACCATTTTTGAGAAGGGTTACTAACATAAGGTAGAATACTTAGCAACTAACTTATCTTAATTTGGGGGTTAGGCAGGCCTCTACACATAAAGTGATTGCAGCTCAGTTTACTTCGATAGCCTAATAATTATGATCACTGAAAGGTTTACTCTGTCATAGAATACATATCAATGGAGAGGTCTGACAAATGAGGCTTGGTTTGTATAGAGAATAACATGGACGTTCAAAAAGAATTAGAACACATTTCCTCTGATTACAGAACTGTCAAAAGCCAAATTTTTGAAGTCAAAAAGGGACATTTTTGATACAAGTTAGAAGAAATCCAAAAGAAGAGTCACAATCTAACCTTTTCACCCCAAATCAGTTCCTCCTTTTTCTTGCCATTCCAATATTGATGAAATGTAGAGTAATAAAAATTTACTCTGGAGACACACCAAGGGACTCCAAAAGGCCATGGAGGGAAATTTCAACTAAAATTGAAAAGCCATACAGAGGTCTGCAAAGAAAAGCACACCACAAATCAAAATCTTTATGACAAAAACTTAATTAGCATCTACAGGCTTAATAAACTAGTAAAATAACTTGTGCCCATTTTACCCTTACCAGAAAAGAAATTAAGCTAACAGATAAAGAAGAAAGCAACAGGTTCACTTTAACAAAAGTTCAAAGAATCACCAAAGAATAACATGCACTAGTATGACTGACTATTGGTTTTTTCCATAGCTGGATTTCTTAAGACTTCATTTTTGGCAAATTTTCAATGTCTCTAAATTCAAGTTATCAATTTCATTTGTTCTTAATATACTTTAAAAGGGTCAGGCTTAGTACTGCTGAACAGCTATAGCTGCATAAAAACAATGCACCAGCCGTACAGGAAAACATTTGCGGGAAAGGATTAACAAAAAAAACCCACCATGCACACCCAATGGGCACATCTGACTCCCATTTTTATTATCCCAAACACTTAGGGCTTTCTAGGAAACACTTTGGACCCCCAGGGGCAAAAAGCACCAAATATCTCAATTCGCTGTAACAAATTCCCAAGAATATACTAATCTGTAGCTGTGTTGAAGGCAGGACATAAATAAAAATTAAACAGAATTTAAAAATTGTTAATCCAGACGTTTAAAAAGTTGTTTTACAGAAGGTTTTTGTTTCTTCTAAACTGACTTTCCTTAGATCTCACAATTTAAAACGCCTTTATTTCTTCTCCCGCTCGTCACTCTTCATTCAGGTTCTCAACAGCACATTAAAGGGACACTAAATGGGCCGTGGTTAGTAGCAGCTGGAACCAGTTTAACTTCAATTCCGAGTCACAAAGTTACCGAGCACTTAGCAGATGCACGGCTGGGCTACTCCCACTCCAGGCAGTTTATTAAGAGACTTAAACCCTGCGTGAAATTGAACAGTTATTTGCTGCCAAGTCCTCCCCCAACCCCACATCTCCCCCAAACAAAGTGCACAAATAGATCACAGCAGTATCACTAAATAAAAGACGAAGGTTTTAAAAGTCCTTATCCCAATGAGGGGCAGGGGACTGGCGTTGGGGCGGCATCCTCACCAGGATTCGGAACACCTAGGAGACCGCACCTCGGCTGACCCCCAAACCCCGAGACTCCGTGAAGAGCAACCCTCGGGACGCCCCCCACACGACCACCTGTCAGAGCGAGAGGCAATCCCCTTCCCCGGAGCCTCCAAGCCCCTGCCCAACGGCGCCCCCACAGCAGGCGCCGCTCCTTTGGGGCTCCCGGGGCCACAGGCACCGCACCCTCCGCCCTCGGGCCAGGAACATCCCGGGTCGTGACCTTGCCGGCCGACCGACCGCCCACGCCCGACCCTCCACTGAGGCTGAGTCCCAGGCAGGGTGAGCCGGCCCGCCGCGAACCTCGCTCTCGCCTCCCGCTGCTCCTTCTTAACGGTCCTGCTCAGCCATGTCGCCGCCGTCCGAGCCAGGAGCCTGCTACTTACCACCTGACAACCGCACCGAGTAACCCCCACCGCCTTGTTCAACGCCGCTGCCGTCGCCGCCGCCGTCTTCGTCACCGTCCCAGCCGCCGCCGCCGCCATGTTTGTTGTGTCTCCGGTTCCCTTCCCGCCCCACTGCCTTGCGCAAGTCTCGCGTGAGACTGTATGTCTCTCTCGGGTTTCCGTAAGCACGAGGGGGGCGTGGTCAAGGTTGAGAGGTGTGGCGAAGTGGGCGGAGCCCTGGCTTTGCCCGCCCCCAGGTCTTGAATTGCTGAGCCCTGGCGAGAAGGAGCGATTCTGAGGGATCCGCTACGCCACCGGGCCTGCGGCAGGGATGGAGGGAGCGGCGGTTCGGCTGTTGCGTGGCAGCGCGCTGGTGAGTGCACTCGCGGCGGCCGTCCTGGGGGTCCGGGATGACCTTGGCCCCGGCGATGGGGTCTTATCCTAACGGGACCGGGACGCCCGCTCCACATCCTGGGTCCGCGCCTCCCTGCCTCCGCCAGGTCCATTTCAGACCCTTCACCGCGGGCCGACCACGACCCCGACGTCCCTCCAGGCCTCCGGCCGAGCCGGCTCCGTTTCTGTAAGGAGGGCTGGGTGTGGCAGCTGGTGAGAAGGGGTCTGGGGTCTGGTCTAGAAGCTTCTTTGGCGGAACGAGCACCTGGTGTGGGGTCGCAGAGCCACGGCTGCAAGATCTCCTTTGCAGGCCGTTGGGCCCTGGGAGCCACCGACTCTTGGGTCTTTGGAGGCATTTTGCAGAGATGTCACCTCTCCGATGTCGCCTTTCCCTAGCGATTACATTTCATCCCTTCCCCCCCAAAAAGATTGTCAAAATAGAGGCACAGTCTCATTCAGAGCAGAGTGTATCCGTGTCCTCCCTTCCGCGTCCCTGCTCCAAAGTAAAGAAGGGACTTCGGACTTAACGACTAGGAGAATTCCCTCGTGGCTGGGGCCCGAGCATCTTCCATGGGTGAGCTCACTGCGGCACAGTGGACCCATTCCCGTCCCCATTCCCGTCCCCCTTCTTCGAACTTGAGCTGAAACCGGGAATATCCACCTGTTGTACCTAATTACGTTTTATATTTATTTGCATTTGCTTTAATGAGTTAAAGGCTTTTCTTTCTTTCTTTTTTTTAAAGATTTCATTTATTTATTTTTCCCCCCAAAGCCCCAGTAGATAGTTGTATGTCATAGCTGCACATCCTTCCAGTTGCTGTATGTGGGACGCGGCCCCAGCATCGCTGGAGAAGCGATGCGCGCCTGGGATCTGAACCCGGGCTGCCAGCAACGGAGCGCGTGTACTTAACCGCTAAGCCACGGGGTGGCCCTAAGGGCTTTTCAACTGCTGCTTCAGTCTTATGCTTGGAGGGAGGACTCTTTTTTATTAGAGATCATTAATGTTGATTTTTACAGGCTTAGGATATTAAGAAAATGATTAAAGTCATGTTAGTATGTTGTCCCAAAGAAACAAATTCATGGTTACTGTTTAGGACTGTTTTATAATTGTTGTTAATAGTTTAGCAAAGAAAATTCCCTGGGTCTTGCCATTTATGGTTTGACTCTTGTTTCAGAGCCAGCACTTACTGCCCGCATACTGTGTGGCAGGAGTGTTCTTGGTGCTCTATCTGCATCATCTCATTCCATCCTCACAACCGTCCTAAAAAGTAGTTTAATCTTTCAGCTGCAGAGGCTAACACTGAAAAAGATTGAATGACTTACGCAAAGTCACTCAGCTAGAAAGTGATAGAGCTGGTTTGATTCTAAACTTGACCTTCATTCTCGGCTGCCTCCCTAATTTGTTTGGATTTGTTGGTTTATTGTGGCTCATCCTCCCAATAATTTCGGAAGGAGGGGGTTGTGTGCCTTTGCCCTAGGCAAAGTACTCTGAACAGTCTTAGGGATCTTTAAGTTTATGACTGGGTCCTTGACCTCAAGAAAATTCCTTTTTTTTTTTTTTTTTTTGGTGAGGAAGATCAGCCCTGAGCTACCATCTGTGGCCAATCCTCCTCTTTTTGCTGAGGAAGATTGGCCCTGGGCTAACATACATGCCCATCTTCCTCTACTTTATATGTGGGACGCCTGCCACAGCATGGCTTGATAAGCGGTGCATAGGTCAGTGCCCGAAGTCTGAACCTGTGAACCCTGGGCCGCCGAAGTGGAGCGCAAGGATTTAACCATTACACCACTGGGCCAGCCCCACAAAGGGCTGTCTCCCCAGCCCTGACTTGGGGAGACAGAGTATATGTATTAGGAAATGCATATTAGGACAGTAGAAAACAGCATATTGCCGGTGCCAAATAAATAGCATGGACAGATGGGCTTATAGGTGGTGGGACTTGAACTGAGGATCAAAAGAAGGTATGACTTCGGTTTAGGTAAAGCAGCCAAGGGGTCGAGATTCCAGGCCAAGGAGCTGTGTAAGCAAATGTGTAGAGGTAGGAATATACTAAGCTTCTTTAAGAAAGAATTATTCCAGGATAGCTAATGTGGTAAGTTTTCAGAGGGATGGAGTAGATCCAAATGGCAGGTCCTTATCTTGTTAAGGAATTGTGTCTGTTCTTGTTCCTGCAGCGGTGAGTGTTACTTATCAGTATAGAAATGGCAGTGTTTCTTTGCAAATGTGATTATATCTTTGTTTCCCACTATTCTTTCTCTCTGGTGCCAGGAAGACTAAGTGACCATGAAGATCTCTGGCAGCCATAAGATTCTTTCTCCTTTCTCTCAGGATCCTTGCATACTAGCCCTACCTTGGGCTTATATACGTCTTGATTCCTTTTTTTCGTAAGTGCTAGACCAGGGTTTGTCAGTTTTGCACTGTTGACATTTGAGGCCAGATAATTTTCTATTGTAGGAGGCTGTCCTGTGCGTTGTAGGATGTTTAGCACCTCTGACCCCTGTGACAACCAAAAATGTGTCCATACATTGCCAAATGTCCTCTAGGAGCAAAATCACACCCCCCAGTTGATAGACCTGTGCTCCATGACAGTGGGAAAAGGTGGCCTTTCTCCTTATAACCTGGTAGAAAGCACTCTCTCAATCTACTATTTGCCACACCCAGTTTGTTGACTATAGAAATTGATCTTCAAGATACCATCAGGAGCCATTGAGATTCTGAGGTGCTGTTTGCCAAAGGGTTTTACAAGATAAAATGGTCAGTAGCTTGCAGAAGGAACCCAGAAGCATAGGCACCACTTAGACAATTTTAGAAGTTCACCTGTGGTGTGACAAGGCCCTCAACTAGGGTGATACCACTGATGGTTGGAAAGCAAGACATATTAATAAAGGAAGACCTGGGAAGATTTGGTAATTACCTGGAAATGGAGGAATTAGATGGACTCCACATTTCCAAATGGAGTGGTTTAGTGATGGGCAAAGACTGGGGCATCCAGAGGAAAAGTAGTTTAGGGGGAACAGAAGGAAAGTGATCCGTTCTCTTTTAGACTTCATACTTTATTTATTTATCTTTTGTGTGTGTGTGTGAGGAAGATCAGCCCTGAGCTAACATCCGTGCTAATCCTCCTCTTTTTTTTTTTTTTGCTGAGGAAGACCGGCTCTGAGCTAACATCTATTGCCAATCCTCCTCCTTTTTGTTTTCCCCAAAGCCCCAGTAGGTAGTTGTATGTCGTAGTTGCACATCCTTCTAGTTGCTGTATGTGGGATGTGGCCTCAGCATGGCTGGAGAAGCGGTGCGTCGGTGCGCGCCCGGGATCCGAACCTGGGCCGCCAGTGGCGGATTGCGTGCACTTAACCGCTAAGCCACAGGGCCGGCCCTAGACTTTATACTTTAAAAAGTGTCAGTTCAACTTATAACTGGAAGTGTTTTGGAAGCTAAGCAGGAGATGGATCTGGAAACTAGCAGAAAAATCAGAGCTAGAGATACAGGTCTGAGCCTTTGAAGTACGTTACAGACCATTTTGGGTGAATGTTGAAGAAAGGCAAAGCAAAAGGAGAATTAATGTAGGATGTCAGTTATAGGAGGCTTTGCAGCAAATATGCTTTATTCAGAACTGGAGCAAAAGAAGGAAAAGGATATTTAAGTCCAGTCTTAAGAGCAAAAGTACAAACAGAATTTGGGCTGTATAGCGTAAAGAAAACAACCCAGCGAAAGAGGCGAATGTTTTGAGAAGTGCAAAACACAGAGTAAGTAACCCAGGGACAGTTTACGGAAATGCTGGAATGCAAATTGATGCAGGATGTGAACTCTGTCCATTTAACTATGGAGAACTGCTCTGGGTTCACAAGCTCCCTTCGTTCAGTTTGGTATCCACCTGGCCCGTGGAGGTATTTGTGCAACTCCTGGTCTGGAACTCAGGTCTCCTGACTTCTATGTTAACTGTTATTTTAATTGTTCTTTCTGCTATCAACCTGGTTCCCTGAAAAGGAGGATGGGTCAGAGAAATTCCCAGTACGGTCATGCACTGCATGACGACGTTTCTTCTCAACACAGACCACATAGACGACGGTGGTCCCATAAGAATAGCACCATACAGCCTAGGTGTGTAGTAGGCTGTACCGTCTAGGTTTGTGTAAGTCCACTCTATGATGTTCGACAATGACGAAATTGCCTAATGATGCATTTTTTAGAACACATCCCTGTCATTAAGTGATGCACATGAGTGTACCTGCTAAGACGATGGACCCAAGTTAATTGACAACTAAAAAAAAATTTAAGTTCATTAATAATTCCATCTTTTAAGATTTCTTTGGAAATAGAGGGAAGTTAGGGTCTGGTTTTGTTTTTGTATTCTGGTAGTTTGGGAAAGAGCACTTGTTGACTTGGCGAATGTCACACAGAAGGCAAACAGGTCCCTTTTATGCTGATTCCCTGGCACTGTGCCCTGTCTTGGTTTATTTAGCCCTCTCCTGAGGAAGTCGCTCTTATTCTTCTAGAAGGTGGTGGCATGTTAGGAACTACTAGATACTGGAATGAAGAGCCCAAGACCAGTGGAAGGGAGAGGTTTACATTTTTAGTAGTTTTTGAGAATACCTAGAGCAAAAGCTACTGTTTATGGAGAAAGCAAACAGAGACTAGAGAGATTTCTGGTGTAGAAGTTCTGGCTTGGGGAAATGAAAGCAGAGAAAGATCAACTTAAAACCTAAAATGAGATATGCAGTACTTAAATCTTAGAATAGATACCCTGATGTTAAG